GATTAACTGGGATAATCTATCGGCATGATCCTAGATCATAACCTGAAGCCAACCTGTGCTTCCCTTACTGTAAGACAACTGATTATGGACTTTAATCACATCTGAAGTTGGGTGTGCTGGTGCATGCCTGTAATCCCAGCACTCTGGGAGGCTGAGGCAGGAGGATCACAAGTTTGAGTCCCACCTGGGTAATTTATGGAGACCCTGTCGCAAAATAAAAAATAAAGGCTCAAGATGTAACAAAGTGTAAAAACCCTGGGTTCAATACATCTACAAAATGTTTTCATAGCAATCCCTAGATTTTCATTGAATAACTGGGGGCTTTAGCCAGACCACATTACGCATCAAAAAGATCATCCTTCTGCACATAAATGGGACTGAGGGTGTGATAACTAGGTCTTAAATTTCTTTTTGACCTTAAGGTACTCTGGTTTCTTGATCTTCAGGGAGCAGCGTGGAGAGTTAGAGGGCCCAGAGTGGAGCTGAGGGATGTCCCACAGGTTCCCAGGCCCTCTGGCTCACCTGTAGAGAACTGGCTTTCACCTTCATTTCTATTTCTAGTCAGCTTACCAAAAATCCATGAGCTCTCCCGAGACCCCCTGCGTGCCAGAAACTGCACTAGGCACCAAGAGAGAAGGGATACCAAAAACCTAGATTCTTCCCCAAGGAGCCTTGAGTCTAGTGGAATCAGGAAAAGATGGTATCTGTGCTAAATCCGAGTGGGCCAAGGAGGGCCTTCTGGGAGAGGGGTGCTTTGGGGGAGGCTTGAGTAGTGAGTGAGGACTTCAGTGGGTGAAGATCGGCCATGTGACCTGCTGGGGGAGGGAACCCCACTAGTCAGGCTGAGGGGCATGAGTGGGCCTTGCAGGGGCCTGGGCTCTGGTGGTGACTTGAGCTGACCAGCACTGGAGGTAGGAAATGACAGACCCAACCTGTGCTCTCCTGCCTGGATCCTGACCAGTGGGTGTCCCATGGCCTGGCAGAACCAGCGGTGATGGTGATCCTGAGTCCTACTTCCCTCTTCACCTGGTCACCCAGCCGCCCTCACCCAGCCCCTAGGGGGTGCTTGCACTGCCTCTCCCTTTGCTGGGTCATGATGTGTGACCCAGCTCTACATGGACGCTTTCTACAGGGACCCACTCCCAGAGTCCCATCCCCTACCACATGCCCTCCGCAGGCCACATGTCTGGACCTCGAGCAGCCCCTGCTTGGTTTCTGCCCCGGGCTCCAATGCTTGGCATGGACTCAGTGTCCACTTTCAGGAAAATGTGAGGCCTCTCTGACCATGGCTCTAATTCAGAAATGACCATCTCAGACACATCTGGAGAGTCACATTCTAGCCACAGGTCACAGGACTGTAGAGGGGCCTTTCTTCCAAGGTCCAAAATGTCAGGCCCCCCGGGGAGCCCAGAGAGAGTGACGCCAGGCCCCAGCAAGGGCAGCCTCTCCTCTAAGACAGGGCCCAGTCCTCCTGCCCCTGCACAAGGGCTCCCCTGGGACCTACAGCCGGCAAGGAACAGACAGTTCCAGGCAGGCGCCAGCCTCTGATCCATGCAGCACATGGCTCTGCCCTGGGCTGTGCCTTACACATCTCAGACCTGACGTGAAGCAGCTGCTGCTCACAGGGCCGCTTCAGTTTCCACGGTCACCATCCAAGGTCGCCACCCATCCAGAATCTCTCTGGGCTGAGCTGTTATATGTAGCATGTCATTCAATCCTCACAGCCACCCCAGGAGCAAGGCTGCTATCGTGCGTGCCCACTTTACAGACCAGGATCCTGAGGTACTGGGGTCAGGGAATGCACCCGAAGTCCCCACTGCTGGCAAGTGGCCAAACAGGCCTGTGTTCTGCATGCACAGCACTTGGACGTACAATATCTTGGCCTCATGTTGACCCCAAGGTGTGAGCACCACTATTGCTACTTTCCCAGTAAAAATAAACGAGCCTTAAAGTCACTTCCTGTGATCCAGAATGAGAGCCAGAGTCAAATCCAGAGCCAACCCAGAACTTCCAGCCTTAAAACTGAGTCCTCTCCCTTGGAACACAAGTGCCTTGCTCCTGGATGGTGGCTAATGGGGGTCCAGGCCCACAGTGGGAATGCAGGGAGACTGCAGAAGTGCACCCCAGCAAACAAAGTACAATAATGACAGCAGTGGGAGTGCTGAGCTGTTGCCTGTCTTGGACACGCATTTGCCTTACAATCCCCCAAACGGAGTGGGAATCTAAGTGGCAGTTAGTTCTTAAGAGGGGCCACTGAGTGAGAAGGGGGCGTTGTTGGGGAGATCTGAGCAACTCGCCTGTTCTCCAGTGTGTGGAGGGGATGTGGTAATGCAGGGTGGGAAGGTTTCCCTGCAGCAGCCATGATGGGTGTCCAGACACTGTCCCCAGGAGTGATTCACTAGGGTCTGGGTAAACTAAGAGTTCAAGTTTTAAGACTCCCCAGGTGACAGGAAACTGCAGCAGTGGCAGCATGGGGGGAAGAGAGCTTGCTAGGACCGATCTTCTGTCCTTGGGAGGCTGGGCCACCTGCCAGGGCAGGCCTTTGCTTTCTGTGTTTCCTTGGCATCTTAGAAACATTCAGAGGATAGCTGAAGAAGACTCTGCACTAACACAAAGCCAGAACTCCTCGGTGAGCCAGGTGGCAAAGTCATGGGGAGTTAGCGGGCAGCCCCAGGAGAAGGTCATGTTCGCTCTCCCGCCAGAGGAGAAGGGAACTGAGAGGGTCTTACACGGGTCCTGGGGGCAGGCCGTGTCTCCTCCTTCATAGCTGTAGCTTGCACCTGATCTCAACTCCAGGGAAGGAGGTCAGCCCGAGGGAGGTCCCCTTGCATGGAACAAAACGGGGGATTCCTTCTCTTGGACATCATGCCCAGCTCACTGCCCTGAGTCCTGAGCACTCCTCTGCATGCTGTCCCCTGCATGGCCCCACAGGGTTAGCCAGGGGACTCCCAGAGGCAGGCTATGTGTCCTTTCCATGAGCCGTGACAGAGGACTTACTTAGTTCGGGGCAGCCAAACTGAGGAAAGTGGAGATCTGCCCGCTCCACTCTGCCTCCTCTCCCACCTGGCTGTGAGACCTGGACCGAGTTACACCCCACGCTAGCCTGGCCTGTGAAGGTCGGACTGGCTGTGCCCACACCCTCTTAGCCTGGCCTCCCCTCCCAGCACCTCCGAGAAGAATTCAGTCCTGGATCACTCTCTTGTCCCCACTTCAGCCCATGCTGTCCGGGCCCTGGAGGGACTTCCTCTGTGGCTAACTCTTTCCAGGACCTCCAAGTCAACCTGTCTGGAAAGACAGCGTGTCTGAGTGTGGCCAAGGTCCCACTTATCAGCAGAGTGAGGCCAGCACCCCAGCCCCTGCCTGGGGCGGCTGGAATGCAGGAGTCTCCCTCTGGAAAGGCAGCTCCCACAGCTGTCCTCGTGCCAGAGTGCAGAGGGAGTGCTAGGGCCCCGCTGGTATCTTCTGATGGGGTGGCCAGGAGCAAGGATGCAGACAGCCCCTCCTAGGACCAAGGATGGACCCCACCCAGGACATGCACTGGTAGCCGGCATCCCCGTCCAGGCCAGGTCCTGGCTCCAAGGTTCTGGGGTCCTGGGACCTGACAGCTTGCTCATGGACCAGTCTCCAACATCCGCCCAGACCCGTTACCTGCTGGATCCCAGGGCCCCGGGTCAGCCGGGTGGGTCCTCCCAGTGGATTGCTATCTTGGAAGGCTTATGGGACATTGGTGATGATGCGCAGTACCTACTCAAGCAAGTCTCTCAGCCTTAGTCTAGGATGGGGTGTACTTGGGGGGCTGATGCTGGTCACTCCTGCAGAGTAAAGGCTTAGGTGGGCAGTGGATGGCATCACAGCATTCCCTGGGTCGTCCAGATTCCTTGAGAACTTCGGGTGCCAGCAGTTCTCTCTTCCAGATGAGGAGATGAGACCTTGGTCAGGGGACAGGGGAGAGGGGGAGTGGCTATCCCAGCCACTCAGCAGTTCTGACAAAGTTGAGCCCCCTGACTCTCCCCACCCCTCAGCCATTCCCCGCTCACCCTGTTGCTCCCAGCCTCTGTGTTCTAGGCCCCAGGGACTCAGGGAGCCCCTGTCGTCCAGGTATCTCCACTTCAGGAGAGGCAGAGTCCAGAAACTGAAGCATGTCATAACAGACAAGCACAGCCTCAGTGCTAAGAAGCTCCAGGAGACAGGTGAGCCAGGGGATGTGGTAGACAGGGATGGAGAAGACAGAGGGGAAGCTACGATCATCACAGGGACCTGGGAAAGCTGCTTCCCCAGAGAGGCTGCCTAGGGCAGAGATGGGAAGAGCCTTCCAGGCAGGGGAACAGCAAATGCTGAGGTGCCAGGGACACCCCAGTGGGAGCATTTGAGGAGCAGAAGCAGAACCAGCAGTGCGGCTGCAGCATGCCACAAACAGAGAGGAAGTGGGGACGTGGAAGGGCCGATCCTTAGGGCCATGGAGGAGCAAGAGTTTGGATTTCATTCCAAGCATAGGAGAAGTCACTTGCCTTAGTCTGCCAAGGCTGCTGTGACAAAACACCATAGACCGGATACTCGTAACAGAAACTAACTTCCCAGTTCTGGTGTCTGCAAAGTCAAATCAAGGTGTGGACAGGTTCTGGGGTCTGGTGAGGGCCCACTTCCTGGTTCATGCTTTCTAGCTGTGGCCTCCCGTGGCAAAAGGGCCAAGCAGCCCCTGGAGCCTCTTTAATAAGGGCAGTGCACACTCGCACCGGAGAACCACGATGGCTTAGACCAGGGGATGCCTGGGGAAGTAGACAGTGTAGGCAGACTGAGGCCCTTCTAGGAGCAGAGTGACAGGACTTCTTGATGGGCAAGATGTGTGTGTTGGGAGAGGCTGTGGGAGTCCATGGAAGACAATAATCAAAGACGGTCCTAAGTCTTTGGCCTGAGCCTCTGGCAGGAGGATGAGCATTTACCAGATGGAAGATGAAATGTGGAGAATAACGGGTTTGGTAAAGAGGTTCAGGACTTCTGTTTCAGATGTCTGTTTTAATTTTGAGGCTCTCAGGACAAACCCATGAAGGCAGTTAGACAAGTCTGCGGCTCAAGGGAGAAGTCCAAGCTGAGATAAAAACCTGAGGGTTGGAAAAAATAATGAAAGTCATACGCTAGCTCAGATTGCCTAGGGAGAGGTGAGAGCTGTCCAGAAGGTCAGAGCACCCAGCCCTCCCGCCAACAGCGAGAGGTCTGGCAAGAAAGGAGGCAGTAAGGCTCCTGGGGACAGTGGTGTCCCTCCTGGAGGCCAGGAGGACTATTCCAAGAGAGGACGCAGTCAGCCATGCCAGCCGCACTGGGAGGTCGAGTCAGAGGAACAGCCAGTGGATAGGGCAACGTGGTGGTCGTCAGAGACTCTGGCCATGAGAACAGTGTCACCTTCAACAGCTCAGCGCAGGCGCAGGTGAAGGGGACGTTTGCACTGGCTCTTCTGTACTTGTGGAGCCTGCAACAGAGGGGCCAGATTTCAGGAGTGGCGGGCAGAGAACCAACAGTTTCTCAGCTGCGCCAGTTTGCAGGCCCTTTCGCTAATGCTTCAGAACCTCCTCCCGGAGCACCCAGGAGTAGTTCTCATTAGATCCATTATGCAAATGAAGCCCAGGGCTCAGCCAGGTTACCGCTCAAGGCTCCCAGCCAGGAGCTCAGCTCAGGGGCCTCTGACTGGAAGCCCCATGCTTCCTACAGTAGCTCCACCCAGCAACCCTGAGTCCCGCACTGCTCCCACCACCATCTCCCCAGCACCCTTGTCCTTTGATCACTCCTGTCAGCTCCCAGCCAGCCCTGGCCCCTGCCTCCCTCCTCTGGGGAAGCTGTTTTTTCTCTTTGATCCCTACAGGCTGTCCTCAACTGGGTTCCAAGTCCTTCCCTCCCTGCCCTGCAGATGTTCCCGCCCCCTCTGCCACAGGTGTGGGGCTGGCTAAAAAAGCTTCCAAGAGCCCAAGGGGCACTGGGCCTGTCGGACAGGAGTGTGGTCCTGCCTCCCTAACTGCTCCCTGGGAGAGAGCCAGGCTGGGCTTTAGTGCAGCCCAGCCCAGCTCTGAGCAGTCAGAGATGTCTCTGGAGGTGCCAGGAGTGGGCAGACAGAAGGACCAAGCAGTCTAACCCAGATGGCTTAAGAGGGGCCACAAAGTCCTTCCTGAGAGAACAGTATAAAGGAGATATGGCAGTCGGGAGAACTAAACAGGAGTTGTAATTGGTAAAGCCAGCCACCTGCCTGCCACAACCATACCAGAGAGAGAGAGAGAGAGAGAGAGAGAGAGAGAGAGAGAGGGAACTCCAGACCCCAAAGTCCTCTTTGGAGCCAGTGGAGAGTCACACACAAAGCCCAGAGACAATGTGGGGTCAAGAGAGAATTCCGTCAGGTCAGGATTTCGGGAACCTGAGCTCTGCAGGCCTGGCCTTGGCCTGCCTGGCCTGGGCACATCCTCCCCTCCCTGCCTCCCATCCTGATCTCTACGATGAAGGTTGTCACCCAGATGCCTAGGGATGCTTCCAGCTCTGAGCACTGGGGTTCTGAGGCCCTGTCTGGCCCCAGCTCCTCTGGCAGGGCCTGGTACCTGGCTCTCAGCTGGAAGAGAAGAACAGAGTGGACGCAACACCCAGGCACCACGGAGGCCCAGCCTCAACCCCCGCAGCCCTGACAGGGGGCTGCAGTAGTAATTAGCTCCTCACACATCCCCGGGGTTATTTTTAAGGCTCGTTTCTCCCTGGTTTATTTTTAAAGTAACAGTGGCACGTGGCTGGCCGGCTGCCCTTCCCAGGTGCCGGTGCCAATTTGGGCCAGGAATGGAGGAGGGCAACATGGGCCTCTCTGCACTAGGGTCCCCCATGAAGGGCCAGAGATAACCAGCCCCTCACCACATGGCTCCAGGAAGGTTCCTGCTACATCGGAACCTGGGATCCAGCCTCCGGCAGCAGGTGGCCAGCAGAGAGAACCCTGAAGTTCCCTCGGCAGGCATTGCATGACCTTGGCCAAGCCTTCCCAGTTCAGAGCTCAGCCTCCTCACTGTTGGCGGGATGCATGGTAGTGACACTTGCCTCACTCGCTGTCAAAACACTCAGAAGTGAGCCACAAATGCAAATGGTACGCAAGCACAGAGAATATCGTAATTCCCACACACGCTCCCTCTGGACCCCTCGAAGGCCTGTCTTTCTCCCCGGCGGAGTGATGCCCAGTCTGGGAGACTGAGTCTGCTCCCATTCTTCGCTCACTCACCTGCCCAGACGCCTGCTTTCACACTTTCCCACCAGCTGAGTCCACAAAGAGTCAGAGACAGCAAGAGGAGAGCCCCGCTTGGCCTCGTAGTGGCTGTGTGACCTTGAGCAAGTAACTGACCTCTCTGTAGCTCCGTTCCTACATCTTTAAATGGGATAATAATAGTTCCTACTGAATAGGGTGGCTTGAGGATTAAGGGAGGTACATATATCAGCTCACTCGGAGCAGTGCCGGCATGTAGTAAGCACTGTATGAACGTTAGCTAGTTTTGCTTTGAATTGGGGAGGAGGAACGGTGACAGAGGCATTTAATCATCTGAATAAAGTCAAGTGCGGAGAAAGCCAGCTTGCCCTGATTCCACAGTGGGGCTGGGGGAGGGAGGGAGACAGGCAGCACTGTAAGCAGCAGCTGGAGAGAGCTGGGTCCTGGGGAGGCTGCCCAGCCTGGAGTTCTTGGCACCATAAAAAGCAAGCTGAGGACACAGTGCATAAACAGGCAGCCTCTGTAGGCCTTGGGGCTGAGAAGTCACCCTCTTAGGAGACCCTGGCCGGGCCCATCTTGGGTCCAACTCTGGGCTGTGGATGCAGTGAGGATGCAGTCAGGAAGGCCAGTGGTGTAGCAGAGGTCACTGGGAAGGCTGGGCAGGCAGAGGTCAGAAAATAGCAGGCCTGGCTGTGTCAGGCTGGGGACGGCCCTCTGCCTCCCAGTCTGTGCAGAGGGCAGTGTCCCCGAGGACAGGCCAAGAAAGAATGGCCGCAGCCTAGGTCACTTCATTTTACACAAGGAGCATTTCCACCAGCATGGGGTTGAGTGAGCGTGTTTCCATGGAGAGCAGTGGAGTCACAACCTCCGACAAGAGTTTGTGTCCCCATCTAGAGGAGGAGGGGTTCAGGGTCGCAGGGGCCCAGTCCCTCGGAGCCTGGAATAGGAATAGCAGAGGCCCGGAGACCAGGGGTGCCGGGGCTCTCTCCTGTATGGCGCTGTGCACTCCCTGCTCTCCTGGGTCTGTCCACCCTGCAGCCCAGCTGGTTCCTGCACTCTGCCCTGGACAGCAGACAGAGTTGTGCCAAGAGATCACGGGGGGTAGGAGGGAGAAGGCAGGGCACTGGAGAAAGAGAGAGAGAGAGAGAGAGAGAGAGAGAGTGTGTGTGTGTGTGTGTGTGTGTGTGTGTGTGTGTGTGTGTGTGTGTGTTTGCACCTATGAGTGCTGGGAGTGAGGGACCCACATGTGCAGGTTGGCTCAGGGGAGAAGGTCCCGGCAGCTGCCTCCAGCCTGAAGTCCCCACTGCCTGGAGTCCCTCTCCTCCTGGGCACAATGCCAACCTTCACCATCTGAGCTCCTGAGCCCTGGTGGGGGGTGCTGAGCCTAAGAAAACCCTCCCTTCACATCTCCTGGCATCTGCTCCCCAACTCCCTGCCAGCCCAGAGCCATCTGGGCCACTAGCCATGACCAGGAAGGAGAGTAGAGCAGGTGATGGACACAAAACAACAGTGTCCAAAGGCCTCCCCACTACACCCGAGCCACCTATTGAGACCGGCTCCATGCAGCTCTGTGTTTCTGCTGTGGGCACTGTGCAAGGGGGCCAGCAGGAGATAGAACCACTTGCGTGTGAAACCCAGTGCTTGGCATGAGTGGCCAGGACAGAATGTGCCTTTCTCTCAGGGCGAGGACAGGGAAAGGTGTGGGAGAGGAGGCATCCCTCAGAGAGTGGAGGAGTTGCAGGAGCGACTCCAGGTGACAGAGGTGAGTGGCAGCTCAGAGCTGTGCTGAAAAACTATGTTGATATGTTAATAACAGCTCTGATTTCCTGATGCCCTCCACCTGTAGGCCTCGCACTAGGCACTTTACATATTGTGTTTCTTCTCCTAAGATCACAGGGGCTGCCTAGTAAGAGAAGGGACCGGAGAGGCAGTGTAGTGGGAGGAGCCGCAGGCCTGGAAGCAGAGACCCAGGCCCAGCTCTGGAGCACCCACTGAGGGCGAGATGCCAGTCTCACAGGCTTCACGTCCCCAGCTGTGGAATGGACACCACCTCAGCCCCGTGAGCTGCATGGAGCTACGGTGAGGACACAACAGGAATGCACCTCACCACTGTAGAGTGCTGTGCCCAAGGGGGTCCTCTGAAACCCAGCCAGGGCTCTTCTGCTGCACTGCTCACCATGCAGAGCACCCTGAGGACAGTGCGTGGGGCTGGCCCTCCATCTGGAGCGGCTGGGGCCTAGCCAGGGCGCAGGGCCCCTTTGGGCCAGAGCAAGTAAGGACTTCTGAAAGGAAACAGCACCACTTAGCCAGTATCAAAGGCCAGCAGCCAGAAGCCCAGGCCTGGCCCTCCCGGTCAGTCTCTCCGGCTGCATTGTTCCTGTCCCTGCTTTGCTTGGTCACTCTCTGGCTTCTCTTCCCCTGTAACTCTGATTTGCATGTGGCTCTGGCTCCCTCTGCTCCCAGCTAAGACCCAGCTCTTTGTAGCCCTGCAGCTCAGCCCCCAAGGCCAGTTCCTGGGAGACAGAAGCTGAGTGTCTCAGCCCTGCAAGCAACTTGGGTCCTCTTGGATCTGGTGTCCAACTCTGCTCCAATCCCCTGTGGCCTGGGCCAGGATGACAGGGTATAAAGGAGCTGCCAAGGCTCACTCCTGACTGGGGTTGTTACAGGGAAGACCATTCCACAGCCTTTATGTCCCCCTACATGGCCTCCTGGCCCTGCCCTCCACCCTCCACAGCTTCACCTGTTCTGTCTGGCTCAGGGCCACACTGAAGGCTCCCGGAAGTCTCCAAAGAGACCCTCCGGGGCTGGCCACCCAATCTCTGGGTCCATTGGCGAGCAGAGAGCACATACCAGGCCCAGAAGAAAGAGTCTTTGGCCAGCACAGCAGCCACCATCCTCCAGGTCTGAGGCTCCACTGTATGCAGAGCACCAAGACTGTACGACAAGGTCCTGCCTGAGGGGCGTATGGTGGCCTCAGGACAATGGCCCACTGAACAGGCTGTCCACACTCGATGGCCAGGCAGCTAAGGGACAGGCTTAATGATGACACCTTCACAAGTACTTGGATTTTGAAGGTCAAGAAATGGACATCGAATCCTTTTTTTTTTAGCTGATGACCTTGGGCCAATAGTATTTCACTTCTCTGACCCTTAGTTTCCTTATCAAAATGTAGCTGGACATGCCCACCTGGAGGGTCATAATGAGGAGCAGACCACTGAGGTGGGGGTGTCTGGCTGTGTGAGACCGCT